AAGTCGACACTTAACTGACTGAACCACCCAGGCACCCTAAATCAACACTTAAAAAAAAAAAAAATCATTTCCCTAAAGTTAAGAAAAACAGAGACCATACTGCCTTAGTTAATAAGAAATGAGAATTTTAATCCCATCAAAAGGGGATTACTGAGAAATGAACCAGGTGACTTTGGAGATGAGACTCCCAACTCTGGTTTCCATCCGTAAATTATCAGGGAAGGTCCAAACTATCTTCTGATTCTAACATATCATAAACATTTTAGACAATAGCTGCCTTCCAACCATCATGTACTTAGAGAAAGAAGCTGGGGGAACAGGCAAAAGTGTTAGTGTCAACAGAAGATCATGAAAAAAATGAAGTATAACATCACCAATGTGTACACTTGGTACCTGGCCAGAAGGTAAGGAGGACGTGGTAAGAAAACATCATTCCCGTGGCAAAATTCCAGTTTGCCAGTTTTGTACGAAAACATGGAGCAGTGATTTCAATCTACTCTGGAGAGCAATACTCTATTTGCTTGATGTTTTAATCCTTTGGGGCACATAAATATATATGCCATATACAATTTGATGAATTAAAGTAAAAAAAATTTTTTTTGAAAATCCTATCACCACTCCCAGGAACTCACCACCACTCACTCCCAGGAACTCACCACCACTCCCACCCAGCTCACTCCCAGGATAAACCAAAACCCAAACTGGGGGTGGTTTTGCGAGAGGGCCCTTGTAGCAGCTCTTTTGACCCAATACTGCCATCTAGTGGCACTGAATGTAAACACTATGTTTTATGACGGATCCAGGAACGAGAGGTGGAGCTCAGGACGTTGGAACCAGGTAAGAGAGAAGGGAGCCAGACGCCCTGTATCTACTTCCTGCCTGGAGTGAGTGGGTGAAAAGAAGCCCTCTTCTGTTGTACGTATAGCTGCAAACCCGAGTCACAGAAGCTGGACCAGGGGCCACCTCCTCCACGAGGTGTTGGGTTTGACTCCTGAGCCCCAACAATCTGGGCCGAGCCACGCTTGGGCTTGCTCCCTTAGATAAGCGCTTCTCATTTGGGCTGTGCGTGTCCCTCTCCCTCTGCTCCCCACACTGCGGGGTCCTGAAGGGCAGAGGTCTTGTTTTATGTCTAGAGCCTGGCCCAGTGCCTAGAACTTTGTAGGTGTGCAATATATATGGAGTATAATTACACATCATACACCATATGTATAATTATGTATCAGCATTAAAATAAAAAATGAGTGAATGGCAGAGTAAATGTCTATCACCTTCATGAAGTCAGTCCCAAGAGAATGAAACATCTACCCCTCTTAAGTCATTTTCTAAATGGAGTGGATGCGTGACGCTCGGCCCATCTCCTCTTTCAGGAAGAAAGAGCTTCTTCCCCAGCTGCTGGGAACTGCTGGGACAAGGCCTTCAGGCCACAGCCTTCTTTGGGGATTTGTATCAGCTGGAGATACAACTGTGGGCACTGACTGTACCATTCAGGCCCAAGGTCACACCTCCTTCCGGGGCAGCCGTATCCAATGCTTAACCCATGTGGGAGTATAAAGGCCCACATTTGTAGAATCGCATGAGATTCCTGAAGATGCTGTGCTGTTCCTAAGGTCTGCCCCCAGGAGCCTCCGTCTCTTTCAAGCCCTGACTTACTTGCCCCATTTCTACACTGGGGGGGAGCATGCCGCTCTCTCCTCCCTTTCCACAGCTTGGGGTACACGTTGTCAAGTGTCCCCAGTCCTCCTACTCCTTTCAGGCAAGCTCAGCTCAGTATCTATGTTTTTTAAATGTAGCCTGCGCTTTAAAGTGTTCTCCTTGGGTCGCCTGGGTGGCTCAGTCGGTTAAGTGTCTGACTTCGGCTCAGGCCATGATCTGATGGTTTGTGAGTTCAAGCCCCGCATCTGGCTCTGTGCTGACAGCTCGGAGCCTGGAGCCTGCTTCGGATTCTGTGTCTCCCTCTCTCTCTGCCCCACCTCTGCTTGTGTGCTCTCTCTCTCTCCCTCTCTCAAATATAATAAACATTAAAGATTTTTTTTTTTTAAATGAAGTGTTCCTCTTGCCTCTGTGTCCCTATGTGACTTGCATTGTTTCCTGGTCCCAGCGCCTGCCTGCCTTCCCCTTAGCAGGTGATTTCCTGAGTCTTCTTGTGAAGTCCTGTCGTGAGACACAGAGGCAACAAGTTCTGAGTCTCCTCCAGAGTGTTCACATAAAGACTGCCCACCTTTGCCCCCATGACTGTAATTCTACATAGGAAAAATCTTTTTTTTTTAACGTTTTTATTCATTTTTGAGAGAGAGAAACAGGGTGTGAGCAGGGGAGGGGCAGAGAAAGAGGGAGACACAGAATCTGAAGCAGGCTCCAGGCTCCACGCTGTCAGCACAGAGCCCGATGCGGGGCTCGAACCCACGAACCGTGAGATCATGACCTGAGCCGAAGTCGGACGCTTAACTGAGCCACTTAGGAAAAATCTTTTAAACCAGGGCAGGCAACCTTTTTCTGTAAAGGGACAGATTTTAGGCTCTGCCAGCCATATGGTCTATGTTGCAGCCTCCACAGTGCAAAAGCAGCCATCTGCAATACTCAGATGAATGGGCACAGCTGGGTTCCAGTAAAACTTTATCTACAAAAACAGGCAATGGACCAGATTTGGCCCATGGGGCATACTTTGTGGACTCCTGTTCTAGAAAGTCGGCATCTGCTCCCAGCCGAGGCTTAGTCTACCAGACTCATGTTTTCTTAACTTCCTGTCCTATGTTGTCTCAGACTTGTTCCGTGTGACCCAGACCTATGCCATCCAAATGGCCTGTGTGACACCTGTGTCAAATTGAAGTTCACCTATAGTTTTCTATTCCCCTGAAGGAATAAATTCTGTGCTGACCTTGCCCTATTTTGTCTCTCTCAGATTTGTCAAAAACCACACGTAGCCACGCTCAGAGTAGCATTCGTCATTAAAGACTGTTAACTGCTTTTTTTGTATCCACATCAGGGTGGTGGTAAGGACTTTTGGGTCTGGAGGCACCAGGAGTAATTAAAGGTATTGGGGTACAGAGAGGGGCCAAGATCTCCAATATGCAGCCATGGCTTCCTTGACCCTGAAGCAAATATTTTATTGAGCATGTATCATATGATAGGCACTGTTCTAAGCACTGGTGATAAATCAAGGGAATGGAACAGAGCTATTCCCTGCTTTTCTGGAAGCTTTTCTTACGGTGAGGAGAAACCAATGGCCCTCTACAGTGTCTAGTGGTGATAAGTTTCCGCAGAAGAGTAAAGCCAAGCAGGGGGATAATGAACCATTGCTTTAGACCAAGGGATTACGGAAGCCCTTTGTAATTAGGACACCTGACTGCACCAAGAGGGAAGGACTCTCTGGAAAGAGCATTCTGGGCAGAAGAAGCAAGTGCAAAGGCCCGAGCACGAGGTCATGCAATGTCTGATGCACGGAGGAGCTGTCAGGTGCCACGGTGGCCGGAGCAGAGAGAGCAAAAGGGAGTGTGTAGGGGAGGGAGTTAGGACTGAATACTCTGATATTTCTCACTGCCTGTGAAAGAACTGTCGATCAGTTTTTTCCCTCGGTACAAACCCAGGCCCATTGTCATGAATGATGCCATGCTCGGTATCAAGATTTCACTAGCCCGTTCCTGAACTTCAGTTAGACATTTTCAGGTGTCTCAGCAAGGACCATTGGCAAAGACTATATTGTGAGCGTTATATTCCGTCACTCTTCCTCACCACCCGTGACAGGGTATCCATAAAGAGCCCCCTCTCTACCCTTGCCCAAAGCCTTTTCCTATTTCTCCAGCTGCCATTGGCTACTTTTCTTGAAGGCAGCTTGTTAGCTCATCACTCTTCTTGAGTTTTTTTCTTACAATGGTCAAATGCAAACTTTCTCTAAATATATCAACAGACAATTTGAACCAGAATCACCTGAGCCACTTGTTAAAAACAAAGATTCCTGGGGGGAGCCTGCGGGGCTCAGTCGGTTAAGTGTCTGACTTCGGCTCAGGTCATGATCTCATGACTCACGAGTTCAAGCCCCGCGTCGGGCTCTGTGCTGACAGCTCAGAGCCTAGAGCCTGTTTCGGATTCTGTGTCCCTCTCTCGCTCTGCCCCTCCCCTGCTCATGCTCTGTCTCTCTCAAGAACAAATAAACATTAAAAAAAAATTTTTAAATAAAATAAAGATTCCTGGGCCCCTCCTACTGACCTTGGGAATCAGGATCTTGGAGATTGAGCCCAGGAATCTGCATTTTAAACAAACTTTCTAGGTACTTGCTATCCAAAGTGTGGTCCTCAGACCTGCAACATTGGTCTCACCTGGGAATCTCAGCCCCATCCCAGATCTACTGAGTTAGAATCCACATTTTAAAAATCCTCAGGTGAAGCTTTTGCATGTTCAAGTTTGAAAAGCATAGGCCTAGATGATATTTATACACCCGGGAGTGTAAGAACCACTGATCTAACACTATCAACAGGTAACAGTATGTATTCTAAGAATAGGGTCTACACTCGGATTGGGGCCACAGGAAATGGTTGTTTGGTTCACCCAGAGGAAGAAAGTTATGCAGCTGCAGGTTCCTTTTCTACATTAGAGACCACTTGAGTCTATGCAGATTTTCTAGTTCTCGATCTGCAAAGAAAAAAGCAAAAAAAAAAACCCAAAAACGTGTTCTCATTCTGAAGCTTGAAAATGTCTTTGCTAACCACTGTTTTCCAGGATGGTTAGCTTAGCCACCAATTATGGGATTTTTTTAAAGTTTATTTATTTATTTTGAGGGAGAGAGAGCATGTAAGCAGGGGAGGGGCAGAGATAGAGGGTGAGAGGGAATCTCAAGCAGACTCCCATGCTGTCGGTGCAGACCGCAAAGTGGGGTGAGATCATGACCTGGGCGGATACGGAGACTGAGATGCCTAACTGACTGAGCCACCCAGGCGTCCCCAATTATGGAATTTCATATCAGTCTCCAATCAACTTTTGCAGGCTGGCCTTTACTAAATGAGTAACCAATGACATTTAGGTGGCTGACAATTCAAGCAAACCTTTTACTTTCTAGCATTTTCTTCATTCATCCAATAAGCATGTACTGAGTGTGGCTGGTGATTGTTCTAGGTGCCAGGGAGAGACTGGTGGATACGACAAATAAGGTCTGTGTCCCCGAAGAGCTTCTATTAGAATAGAGAGAGGAGAAAACAGCCAAGAAGCACATAAATCTGATGCGGTAAGTGCTACGAAGACAATGGAACAGGGCGATATGATGGTGACAGGGGGAGGGGTGAGCTCTGAGGGTGCTCGGAGGCCATTCTGAAGCGACAAACAGTATCTGCCATATCACTCCTAGAAAAGAGAGGTGGCTGTCACACCTACCCAAACTGGCAAGTATTAAGAGCTTGAGTGGGTGGTGCTGGGCCCAGGGTCCAGGTCAGAGAAACCTCTTGGGCCATGTGGGCTCAGAACTAAATTCTAATAGTGACGAGAACTACTGAGGATTAATGAGTCATCTCAATGGGCAGATGTGTCAACGGCCTATGAAACGCCTAATTTCAGGGCTCCTCTACTGTGATGCCAACCCCATGGCATGTGCAGTAACATCGGGTTCTGGCCATGTCCTCCCCCGGGGGTTGGGGGTGTGGGAACTAGTGCTAAGATGCTGCTCTGGCTGCTTTTTCCAGGGAACGATCAACTGTTTCTCTGATCCAGAAAACCCCATGTCTCCCGTCAGGAGATATACCTAAAGTGTGGCAGGCCAGCCTGTGAGCTTCCGGGCAGGGTAACGTCTCAGACCCTTCGTGGTTTCTGACTTAACACCAGGCTAACTAACAAATGAGTACCAGGGGCACTAGTTGGGTCTATTCCTTATAAAAGCTGTCCTGGAAACTGTCCCAGAGCTTTTAGCTTGTATCTCACTGGCCTGAACTTGGCCACTGGGTCACCCCTAAAGGCAGAGAAGTTTGAGGCACACGTGACGTTTCTAACTGCACATCTTGCCACATCAGAGGAGTAGGTGAAAGTGGGTGTTGGTCAAGCATCTCGCAGTGGTCTGTCCCAGGATGTTTGTAAGGTAGCTCTTACACCGCTATCTTTCCCAGACTTTCAGAATTTCTCATCAATGGAAAACATCTTTTCCAAGTCCCAAGCAACTTAGAGTGGTGGCGGGATGAAAGGGAAATTGGATGCTGAATTGGGGGTGAATCCCGGACCTGCTGTTGTCTCATCGCGTGCCCTTAGGCAGGCCACAATCTTGCTGAGTCTCAGCTCCTGAAAATTGGAAATGACGTGGTGACTGGGTGGGTAAATGGGCTAACATATGTGAAGATTCTTAGGAAACGTGAGTCCAGCTGAGAGAGTGGAGGAGCAAAGGGCAGGTCCAGCACCTGTCGGGCAGCACGGAGCCAGGTCCCCTCCCAGATCAAAGCAACAAGAGTCCGCTCCCGTGACGTGACGTATCCAAGTACACGTACAGCGGGCACAAGACCTGCCGTCCTGACAGCCAACGATACCCATGACGGCGGAACTGTACAAGCAATTTATAATTATTACCACTCTGAGAAAATATGCAGAACACACAGGGTCAGTGTGGGCAATGGTCTCGAAATAATGGAACATGAGTCCGGGCTTTTACTTAATTCTGCTTCAGTGGAGATCATTGGGTACGCATGATTTCCTATTTGCATGAACAAAAGTACCTTTGAACTTGGCACAGATGCTTTCATGCACACAGAGCAATGCTCAGCACGGGCCAGGGGGAGGGAAAAGACACGACCGAGAAACCAGCATCCAGTCCTTATAACAAACATCTCTTATAAATGCACACTCTGCTCAGATGGTAAGAAAGTATCACCTGCAGTGACATTAACTGCAGAACTATTTGTACCCTTTTCAGCATTTTCTGCAGGTTTCTCAAAAGTTATGGAGTAAGACCAGATATCAGAGTGGTAAAAGGTATCTCTGACCTGCATTAATTATGCCCCATTGACTGCTATTCCAAGTAAATTAGCAATGGAAGACTATATTTAGAAGAGCAGAAAAGAGTGCATACTAACTACACAGAGGAAACTTCCAGCATCAGAAAAGGCTTGCTTGTTCTTTTCTGAGTTTTTAGAAATGATTTCTAAAGTTGTTCGCTGATGGATTAGATTATGTCTGGATCAAAGCTCTGATTGTCTTGTACTCCCAGTGGGAACAGCGTGCCCCCTCTCAGGGCTCAGTCTGCCCTGTCATGCCATCAAAGCTTTTCTCTCTGGGCAGCTCTTTTGGATAACGTGCCCTGACTCCTAGCCAATTAGTGTTTATGTTTTTTTGCATTTTTTTTATTATGATATAATTCACATAGCATTAAAATCACCCTTTTGGGGTGCCTGGGTGGCTGAGTTGGTTGAGCATTCGACTCTTGAGTTTGGCTCAGGTCACAATCTCACAGTTTGTGAGATTAGTGCCCTTGACCGTGGAGCCTGCTTGGAATTCTCTCTCTCCCTCTGTCTCCGGTCCCTTCCCCGGCTTACACATGTGCTCTCTCTCTCTCAAAATAAATACATAAACTTTAAAAAACATCACCCTTTAAAGTGTACAATTCAGTATTTTGAGCATATTACAAATTTGTGCAACCATCACCACTGTCTAAATCCAGAACACTTAAATTATTCCCTAAAAACACCCTGTCCTCATTAGCAGTCACTCCTTATTTTCCTTTCATCCAGCTCCTTGAAACCACTACTCTCCTTTCTGTGTCTATGGATTTTCCTATTCTGGACATCACATGTAAAGAGAACCATACAAGATTTGGACTTGTGTGTCTGTCTTTCACTTAGCATAATGTTTTCAAGGTTCATCCGTGTCATAGTATGTTCATCCATGCTATAGTATCTCTTTTTGTGCTGAATAATATTCCATTGTATGGATATACCACATTTTGTTTATCCATTCATCAGTTGATGAACATTTGGGTTGTTTCCATTTGGGGGTTATTATGAATAATGCTGCCATGAACATTTGTGTTCAAGATGTTGTATGAAGATATGTTCTCAATTCTCTTGGGCATGCACCTAAGAATGGAATAACTGGGTCATCAGGTAACTCTTTTAACATTTTGAGGAGTGCCAAGTTGTTTTCCAAAGTGGCTAGACAGTTTACATTCCCGCCAGCAATGGGTCTCGGTGTGTGTATGAGGATTTCAATTATTCCACATCTTCACCAACACAATTTCTCTGATGCAAGCCATCCTAGTAAGGTATGAAACAGCATCTCATTCTAGTTTTGATGTGCATTTTCCTAATTACTAATGGTATCTTTTTATGTGCTTGTTGGCCATTTGTAGATCTAAGTCCTTTGCCCATTTTTAAATTAGATTGTCTTTTTATTATTGAGTTGTAGGGGATTCTTATATATTCTGGAGACTCAACTCTCCAGAGTTGACTCAACTGTTGAGTCTGGAGACTCAACAAATCACAACAGATTTGTGATTTGCAAACATGTTCTCTTATTCTGTAGGTTGCTTTTTCACTTGCTTTTAATAGTGTCTTCTGATGCACAAAAGGTTAGCCCAATTTGTCTGTTTTGTTGTTGTTGCATTTGATGTTGGTCTCATATCTAAGAAGCCTTTGCCTAATCCAAGGTCTCATGAGGATTTATACCATAGTTTTCTTCTAAGATTTTTACCATTTTAGTTCTTACATGTATGTCTTCTGTCCATTTTGAGGTAAATTTTGCATACGGTGTGAGATAGGGGTCCAAATTCACTCACTTGCATGTAGATGTCTAGTTATCCCATCATCATTTATTTAGAGATTATTCTTTCCCCACTGAAAAGCCTTGGCACTCTTGTTAAAAATCAGTTGGCCATATGTGTATGGGTTTATTTCTGGACTATCAGTGCTATTCCGTGGATCTGTATGTCTATTCTCATGTCAACACCACACTGTCCTGACTACCACAGTTTTACCAGGTTTTCAACTCAGGAAGTATAAGTCTTCTGCCTTTGTAATTTCTTTTCAATACTGTTTTGATTATTCTGAGTCCCTTGCGTTTCCGTATAAATTTTAGGATCCACTTGTCCATTTCTGAAAGAAAGGTAGTTGGAATAATACTCGTCAGTTTTCTGTCGATAATTTGAGACTTTACTTGAAACTCTTAGTTACAGAGTCAGGAACTCAGAAGAATGAGGGTGATTCAGAGCACTTGGGCTTAAATATCACCCCCTCTCCTCAAACAACTATTGCACACATTAAGTAAAACAATTCTCAATTTAGGAGGGCAAAATGCTCACAGATACCAGGCATGTGTCTCTGAATGCCATCTTTTCTCCTCTTTGCCTTGCTGCCTTGCCTCACCAGAACTCCAGAAAAAGCCTGAGTGCTCACCTGTGCTCTGCACAAATGGCTGGCAGGCTCCTGACAGGTCACTTGCTCCTCCAGCATCTTGTGTGTTCTCTAATCTTTACAGAGGGCTCTGGCCCCTAGCTCCTACATCCCACTGCATGGAGACCACGGTAAATCTGCTGTGCTCACAGTCTTGTAGAAGCTTCCCTTAGAGGACTTTGTAGGGACACATGGAAGAAAATGGCACTGCAGGGGCCCTGGGGCTCTGCTTTGAAAATCATTGGCTTCAAGGCCACAAATGGCTACGCACTCAAATCTGGAAGGTCAGAAAGCAAAATAAATAAATAAGAACAATTTTTCATCTCATAAAAACTAAACGGTGGTCTAGTGTAAACGTCTCCGAGAACGCCACATTCCTACTATTCCCGCTTAGAATTCAGAATTCTGTTCTCCTCATAGTCTGCACAGAAGTTTCTATTCTCTGTGGCTGCATTGTTCTGAATGTCCTGGGCCAGGAATTCCTAACAAATTAGACCTCTTCTTCCCTGAGCAAAAGGCTTCTCTCCTTTCTTAGGGAGTCAGACGATTTATAGAAGAGCTTCTGGCCTCCCCTTCTGCTTACAGAACAATGAAGAAGTCTTGCAGGTCTCTGGGAGTCTGGCCTGGTGGGAGAACCCTGTGGAAGCTACTTTTGTCCTTGTGGAGTTTTTGAAACTCCATCCTGGTTGGTCACGAGCATTGTAACAAACATAGCTGTGTCTTAGGGCCTCTTTGCCAGGTGCCTCAGTTTCCCTGGCCTTTGTATACCTGATATAAGGGATGGATACCCTTGGGGGTTTTGCCTGGCCTGTATCCTTCTCTGGGAATGGCTCCCTGGCATATATGTGAACTCCATGACCACCGTCCATTAGCTGAACAGGGACTAGTCAGACTCTCTCTTTCTGGAATCTGAGACCCATCCAGACTAGAGTTGGCCAATGGCAGGTACGTGGACTCGTGTAGATATGTCAAATGAGCACGTGTGGGCCCAAGTTTGGAGAGAGGTAACTTGAGTAGGCAGAGACCACAGGGTTAGGAGAATGTCATAGATAGGAGGAAGAAAGGAGGAGGGCAGCCATCCAAGTCCACTGTCCCCATGAGTCCCAGCTGGGCCTGCTACACTGACCAGGCCCAGCCCAGAGGCACAGACTAAATCTTAGCTGACATCTGTCCAGCTCGGCAAACTTTGCCTCCAAAGTGGCTTGGGACCCAGAAGCACAAATATGAATCCAAGGGCATTTGCCATATCTGGAGGACAGTTTTTCAAGTGTCTTGCTTCTTTAAAAAAAAAAAAAAAAAATTCTTTGGGGAGGCACTTCACTCTAGACTAGATCTGTCCTTACTAAAAAGTGTTTTCTGACAAATAACAGTCGAGCTAAAACAATGCCATGTGTCCTTGTGGATTCCGAACTCCTAATGTGCTAGCCCCAGTCTCAGGAACAAGGAGTCTGTCCAGTCGTCTGATTTTGCAGGTGAGAAGCATAAAGCCCAAAGAAGATAAGGGCTTCTTTTTTCCATCTTGTTCTGTTTTCTAATCTGAAAAAATAAGGTTCCAGGGCTGCGATGAAGATTAAGAGACTGAATGTAAGTGATTAGCGAGGTGCCTTAAAAACATGCCAAGTGAGCTGCTCCCTCACTGCCGTGCCCTTTGGCGCCCTCCTCCCCCTCTTCCCGCGCCTCTTTCTTCCGCGCTCGGCCTCACTCCCCCGCGGCCCTTCTCACTCGCCCGCAGAAGCCTGAGGCCTGCGGCCGAGTCCAGCGCGCACGGCCGATCCCCGGCCCCGCCGCCCGCCAGCCGCCGCCGCCGCCGCCGCCCGCGTCCTGGACCCGGTAACCGCCCCCCCCCCCCCCCCCCACACACACCCGGCCCAAGCCAGCCGATTCCGGGCCGGGATCCGGGGTGGCGCCGCTCGCTCGCCGCGGTGACCAACCCCCGCCCCAGCGGCCGAACCTCCCCCCTCCCAGGCCGGATCTCCTCCCCGCGTCGGCTTCTGGCGAATTGAGGCGCCCTCCCCGCGGTAATCGGTAGCGGTCTGTCTGCGCTTTTGAACTTCTCTCGGTTTCGCTCAACCCTGACTTCCGCGTGGCTGTGTCGGCCTCCCTGCCCCCTTCCGTAGTCTAGTTGGGGCACTGTGCTCAGATTTGGAGGACCTGGGAGGGTCGAGGGTTTCCGAGGCTTGGAGCCTTCCGTAGGGGCTCTGCGGTACTCGGACACTGAGAAGTGTTTTCAGAGGCTGGGAGTGTGCCTTATCCTGCAGACCTTATCAAAACCTCCTTCCCTGACCCACGGCCTGGATAGCGGAAGACTGGTGCCCGGTGACCTTAGACAGGCAGGGGCCTACCTCGAGCCTGCTAGAGTCTCCACCTTGAGGGGCCCAGTCTGGGCTCGGAGGGCAGAGACTCAGCTGCTGGGGTCCAAGTCCCGGCCCTGCCCCGCCCTTTATCAGAAATTTCTTTGCCTCACTGGGCCCTTCCTGAACTGTTTCCTGGCCTTGGGGCTTTAAAATCAGACCTCCTGAATTCACTGTCATGGTCCAGAGAAAGGTATTCAGAGCTCAAGCTCAGCTCCTCAACATGACACCCGGCTCCTGAGAAACTAACTGATGTGACATTGTAACCAGAGTTAGGCCTTGGGTGCCCTTGGGCACTCCCCCTGGCCACAACCCCAGTCAGAGTCCTGAACCCACCCAGGGCCAGTCAGCCTTAGCTAGACAGTATTAAGGGTAGCTTTTCAGCACTTCTAACTATTCCAGGGTTAGGCTGAGAAGTAGGGCACTGGTTTTCAATTAGCTTGACCAAATCCTAGTTTGTCTACCACTGAGGGGTTTCCTGGGACAGGGGACTTCCGGTTTTAAAACTGGGAAGGTCGTGGGCAAAGTGGGATAAGTTGGTTCCTGTATTCTTAACCCTGGCTGCACGATAGACTCACCCAAGGAGTTCTCATATAGGGGTTTTAATTTGATGGATTCAGGGAGGGTCCCAGATAGGAATATTTTTTTATAGCTCCCAAGTTGATCCCAACAAACTACCAGAGTGAGGAACCACTAGGTTATGGGCAACAATGCTGTAAAACCATTGAAGGTGGCTATTTTTTGAACAGAAGTGGACCCAGACATTTCTCAAAATGGTGGTCCTCTCTTTATCAAGAGGGCTATCAAAATGGCAGTTGCTTTATTATTGCTATTATCTTTCCCCAGTTCCTTTATTCCTCAACAGTGAGGACCCACAAGCCTTCTCCTTTCCTCGAATGCCTCAGGATCCCCTTTCCCAAGGTCAGCGAATTTGCCTCATTTGGATTGGAGAGGCCATGATGTGGACAGTTCCGGATGAAGCTGGCATGAGACTCAACAGGGCTCCAGTCTCTCAGTCTGGGATGCCTACCCCAAATGAGTCATGGTCTAGGGGCTAGCCAAGGGTGCTGTGTATGCTTCAGCTTCTCTCTGTGGGGTACTGAGCTTGGAGAGCAGGTGCCTCTGGGACTTTTCCCTCTGCAGGCCACCAGGGATGCGGTACATCAGCACTCGGGGAATGGCCCCCCGGGTCGACTTTGAGGGAGCCCTCTTCTCTGGCTATGCTCCTGATGGGGGTCTCTTCATGCCCGAGGAGCTCCCCCAGCTGAGCATAGAGACCCTGCGTCAGTGGAGTACGCTGTCCTACCCCGGCCTGGTAAAGGAGCTGTGCACCCTCTTCATTGGCCCTGAGCTCATTCCAAGAGATGTCGTAAATGGTGAGCACCCCCCAGCCTCCCTACTCTCCCACCTAACTCCCCAGCCAAGCCAGCTCCCCCACAGAGCTGCAAATCCATCACTTAACTCCTAGGAGGTTTCTAGTCCTATTTCCCAAACTTTGGATTTTTTTTCCAGATTCTGGAATCCCAGAAATGGAAATCTCCCCAAAGAGTTCATCCATTCCATTCCACCTTCCATCTCCAATAAAATGAATGCCCTGTGGCATCTGCAGAGAATTTTTCCCTTTCATTTATTGTTCAAAACCCTTTTCAAGACTAGGCATTTCACCAACATCCTGAGATGCTTGAATAGTGGGATGCTTCCTGCCTGTATGTAAAGCGCTTAGACCCTCAGATTGCTGTTTTATTGCCTTGAATGGTAATTTTAGAAGGGACTTTGAGAGTATCCCGGACCAGCTCCTCTCAAAACTGGAATATACCCATGGGTTGCCCTAGGGATCCTGTTAAAATGCAGATTCTGGGGGCGCCTGGGTGGCGCAGTCGGTTAAGCGTCCGACTTCAGCCAGGTCACGATCTCGCGGTCCGTGAGTTCGAGCCCCGCGTCAGGCTCTGGGCTGATCAGAGCCTGGAGCCTGTTTCCGATTCTGTGTCTCCCTCTCTCTCTGCCCCTCCCCCGTTCATGCTCTGTCTCTGTCTGTCCCATAAATAAATAAAAACGTTGAAAAAAAATTTTTAAATGCAGATTCTGATTCAGTAGGTCTGGGGTAGGCTCAAGAATTCTGCATTCCTACCAAATGTCCAGAAAATACTAGTGTTGCTGGTCCATGGGTCAAACGTGATATAATCACAATATAATGGTGAGAGCTTGGGGCTGGGAAGAAGAGGGCCACTCAAAATGTGGTCTCATGGCAGTGATGGCATTGCCTGGGCACTTAATCAGAATTCTCAGACTTCTTCAGGCCTACTGAACCAGAATCTGCATTTAAAGATCCCAGGTGATTGGTTTGCTAATGAAAAGTTTGAGAAGCATTACCTAAGATGGCCGGCCTTAGGTAGGATTATATGTAAACCATCCCAAGGTTCCGGTATCACAGATGTGAGATTTAGTATAGGAAAAACAAATAAAGAACAACCTCTCTTTAGAAAGGAATATTATGGGGTGCCTGGGTGGCTCAGTCGGTTAAGCTTCTGACATCAGCTCAGGGTCATGATCTCCCGGTTCATAGGTTCGAGCCCCATGTTGGGCTCTGTGCTGATGGGAGCCTGCTTCCGATTCTGTGTCTCCCTCTCTCTCTGCCCCTCCTCCGCTTTCCCTCTGTCCCTCTTTGTCTCTCAAAAATGAATAAACGTCAAAAAAAATTTTTTTTAAGGAAGGAACATTAGAAAAGATGAGACATGGATTTGTTTGTTGCACAATTGTTTAATCAAACTTCTGTTGGCATTCATACACACACACACACACACACACACACATACACACACACAGAAGAAATCCAAACAATGAAGTTTACACAATAAAAAATGGAAGTCTGATAGTGTCATTTCTCTTCTCTGGGGTGCATCACTATGAGGAATCTATGGACAGTGTGGCTCACGTCTTTTCAGACTTCTTTCTCAGATTATGCAATTATATCCATATACAGTATCATTTGGGGTAAACATTTTTTGTCCTCTCATCTGGTAGCAGGAGATAGGAACTTCAAATTCAAAAGTGTAAAGAGACAAGAGAGAGAACCTGTAGAAGAGATAATGCCCTTCTTCCACCATCCAACCCCTCTCCCCTCACAGGTCTGATCGACCAAGCCTTCAGCAGATTCCGCCATAGAGAAGTGGTCCATCTGTCCAGGTTGAGGAATGGGCTGAACGTGTTGGAGCTGTGGCATGGCGTCACATATGCATTTAAGGACCTGTCCCTGTGCTGTACAGCACAGTTCCTGCAATACTTCCTGGAGAAGAAGGAGAAGCACGTCACTGTGGTCGTAGGTGAGCCCCTTGGGGGCCCTGACTTGCCCGCATCCATCCACAGGATGCCCGTCATTGATGTGTCTCAAGGAGGGTGTGTTACTGGTTCTTCTAGAGCAGGGTTTATAACCTTTTCTTGGGCCATTGGCCCCTTTGACAGTCTGAGGGAGGCTATGGAGACTTCACAGAATAATTTTTTTAAGTACACAAAATATGTAAGATTATATGGTACCAAGTGCACAGGTGCCCTGATTTCTATCCCTGGATCTCTAGGAGGTTAATGGACCCCAGATTAAGTACTAGGTTCCTACTCTTCAGGTATTTGAAATAGACATTGTCTCACATGGCAGCCATGCTTTAGGGGCCACGTCTTTCCTTTTCTGTCTCCCCTGTTCTAAAGAAGAGGGTTATTTTTGCTTCCTACCCAGGAACGTCTGGGGACACAGGGAGTGCTGCCATTGAGAGTGTTCAAGGGGCAAAGAACATGGACATCATCGTTCTGCTGCCCAAGGGCCACTGCACGAAGATTCAAGAGCTCCAGATGACAACAGTGTTGAGGGAGAACGTCCATGTGTTTGGAGGTGAGTGCTGGGATGGGAAAGCGTGGCCCTGTCTCATAGGGGGGTCTGTTTGGGGAGATGAGCTGGAATAAAATGGTCAGTTGATTGGTTGATCATCCTTCCTCCTGCCTTTTCTCTGTCCTTTCCTTCCTTCAACCGTTATGAAGTTGGTATATGCCTTGGCTTAGCTCTGGGCAAGCTCTTGGCAACACGGTTTCATAAGCTGTTGGAGGTGACGAGTGCACAGACCAATACTGTCAGTACAACCTAAGAAGTGTAGGCTGAAAACCATAATCCAAAGATTGCCACCTTTATGCAGGTTCAACCTCCTGGTGCCTTATATACAGGCAGCCACCAGACCCATTCGCCTGAGCCAAGTGACTTGGGTTTTGTTCCAGGACACGGGAAGAGGGCACAAACATATGTTAAATAATTATTTCTTAAATGTTTATTTATTTTTGAGTGCGAGAGCGTGAGCGAGCAGGGGAGGGCAGAGAGAGAAGGAGAGAGAATGCCAAGTAGGCTATGTACTCAGTGCAGAGCCTGATGTGGGACTCAAACCCGTGAACCGTGAGAACCTGATCTGAGCCGAAACCAAGAGTCAGACGCTTAACCGGCTGAGCCACGCAGGCACCCCAGCAGGTCTAAGTATTTAAAATAGGAAATCAGTTAGTGGTACCCATTGCTAGAGACGCCCTTTCCTGAGCCACGTCAGGAATTTGGGCATTTTGTATTTGCAGAAACACAAAAAACTTATCTCCTTTAATGTCAGGACATCTATTTTTTAGAAATCGAGACTGTGGAAGGGTGGGGTGAGCTTGAGTGGAGCCGAACACTTTTATTTCCACTTCTCACACCTAGCTAGACCCCAGGTAGCCCCAAAGTAGGGGCGGGGATATGAGCAGTAGGGGTCTTGGTGAGGTTTTGCATACTGTATACACCGTGGCCTTGGGGAAGCTGTCCCAGTGGTCTGGTCTGGTTTGGTCACTCACCCGGCAGGAGAGCAAATGTGGTGGCAGAAGACAGTCCTCCTACAACTCGCCTGGTCTCCTGGTATGATCCCATAGAGCATGTTTGCATAGGACACGGGCTTTGTCAAGGAGCAAAGCGTAGTGCAAAGAAACCTTCCCCATGGGAGTAGCATGAATAGCCTTTGTCCATTTGTTCAGAAGTAAGCAAAAAGCCCCTTCTACTCTTCCCTTTAACAAGCACATCCACATCCCAGTGAAAGGTTCCGGGTTTAGCTAATGCAGGTGTTGGCAAAATCTTACACATTAGCCTTGGTGGTTGGCCGTATTTGGCGCGTTTTTCTGCAGTCATTGCAAAACATTGATGTATGATATTTGGGCTCCTAAGGTCTCTGTTATACCCTAAGCACTGAAATTGCTAGTGATGGGTCCAGGGCTGTCTTTGCCTAGAATCAAAGCAGAGAGTAGCCTTTTGTATTTCTGTCTGCCACCTACTCCCTTCTTGCCTTGTACCAGATTTTGGAAGACTTTTATCTAATGGGGGTTAGGGAGCCTGGGTGGCTCAGTTGGTTGAGTGTCCGACTCTTGATTTTGGCTCAGGTCATGATCTCACCATCATAGTCTCATGGTTGTAAGATCGAGATCCGCGTCAGGCTCTGTGCTTGGCAGGGAGCCTGATTAAGGTTCTCTCTCTCCCTCTCCCTCTGCCCCTCCCCTGCTCTCTCTTTCTCTCTCTCTCTCTCTGTCTCAAAAAAGAAAAATACATTTAAAAAAACGACTCGTATGTAAGCTTGGTTCCTGACGATGGGGTGGAGAATGGTGCCCATTTGTGAAATAATGGTAGAAATGTCAATGGTATTGAGTGCAAATCTGTCATAAATGTATTATTGCTGAAGCTCAAGAGGGCATTTCTGTCGTGCCCATGCTCTGAGCTTCAAGAAAATAAGGCAGCAGACTTTAGAGAAATTAATTTTTATTTCTAAATAGCACCGTTCAGGTTCTTCCTTTCCTTTCTGGAGTCTTCTGATTTGGTTTCTAGGAGGATGTGTGTTAGTTCCAGAGCTAACAGTGGATACGTATTTTTCCCTTAGACCAGTGAGCTCAGGGAGTAGGGATGGACCACCTGGATTGTTGTGAGTTGGACACTGATGTTTTATAAAGTCATTAATTTCCAGGGCACCTGGATGGTTCAGTCGGTTAAGCTTCCAACTTCAGCTCAGGTCATGATCTCGAGGTACAGGAGTTTGAGCCCCTCATAGGGCTCTCCTCTGTCAGCACAGATCCTCTTTCCTTCTCTGCCTCTCCCTGGCTTGTGCTCTGTTTCTCTCTCTCAAAAATAAATAAAACATTAAAGAGAATAAAGTCATTAATTTCCATATACATTTCATCCTTGGTTCTTTTTTTTTTTTTTTTTTAAAGAGAATCTCTTTTTTTAAGTTTACTTATTTGAAAGAGAGAGAGAGAGCATGAATGGGGGGTGGGGAGGGGCTGAGGGAGAGAGAGAGAGAGAGAGAGAGAATCCCAAGAAATCTCCTTGCTGTCAGAGCAGAGCCCAGCGTGGGGCTCGATCCCAGCACCCTGGAATCATGACCTGAGGCAAAAGCAAGATTTGGATGCTTAACCAACTGAGCCACCCAGGTGCCCCTCTACTTGGTTCCTCTTAGGCAGAGAGTAATCAGCAAGTGCTAGCTACACATTATTTGGGATGTTTGGGGCCAGATGTAACAGAAAATCTAACTCAGACCAGCTTGAACAAGAGTATTTTCCAGCTTACGTAACTGGAAGTCTAGAGGTGGGCTGGGCTCCTGAATAGTTGATTCAGTGACTCAGCAGTCCCTCAACAGGGACCCAGATTCTCTGTATTTTCTGCTCTGCCTTCCCCAGTCCTAGGGCTCCTTCCCCCTTGTGTATGTAGTGCTTACTTAATGTAGCCAAGTCTCTCTTCCTGTGGCTCTGTCTTGAGAGCAGTGAATTTTTTCTGGAACTCCAGCACACATCCCCTGGTGCATGGATCTAGAGTCAGCCCCCTAGCCTCATTGCTGCTACTCAGTGCGAAGGGTGGGATGAATAACAACCTCAGTGCCTACTCTGGCACTTCCCACGGTAAATCCCAAGTTTGGATCCAGAGGAGAAGTAGACCCAGGTTTCAGATAAGAGATCCATATTGGCTTAATTGCTAGTTGGGCTGGATTGAGGAATGCAACTTGGACTAGTAGCCAACTCACCCATAAATTTAATGAGCAATCCATCCATAAATTAAATGGGGTACACACCCAGCTCATGGAGGAAAGGTCCATGCCAGCCAGCTTCCCTACCACGTAGGAGCAGGGAACAGAATGCCTCTCTGTGATCTGAGAGAAGAAGGGCAGACCGTATGGCAACAGTGACTCTTTACCCCCACCCGCTGGTAGAGGACCGTGGAGTGAAGTAAGGATCAGCCTCTTGCCACCTCACGGCCTCATAAACCATCTCTCCTTGTTCCTAAAGAGCGGGGAAGGTGGGCACGGATTGCAAAGGGCAGTCATTTTCCCAATATCCCAGAAGGCTGACATTATATGCCTAACTTACATAGTGGTAGAAATGTTGGAAATCTGACCACAAGAACACGAGACATGGTTTCTTTCCTTGAGTTGCTTAATTTTGCGTCTAAGAAGCCAGGCCAAGACATGGGAGAGCAGAAACCGAAGGTCGAGTGAAGGTCCCGGCAGGATGGGCCCAGTGTGGGAGGGCCTTGTTGCAGGCAAGTGCTGACCACCTGGGGGTTCTTCATGCTCCTGAGAGCCACCCTCCACTCTCTCCCTGACAGTGGAGGGCAACAGCGATGAGCTCGATGAGCCGATCAAAGCTGTGTTTGCTGACGTGGCTTTTGTCAAGAAGCACAACCTGATGAGCCTGAATTCAATCAACTGGTCCCGGGTCCTCGTGCAAATGGCCCACCACTTCTTCGCTTATTTCCAGTGCGCGTCATCCTTAGACATGGACCCCCTGCCCCGCGTGGAGGTGGTTGTACCGACAGGGGCTGCAGGTAACCTTGCAGGTAAGGAGACCCCTGGGCAGAAATGGGCTTTCCAGAAAAATGCCTGTGGCCCTAGTCCTTCCCGCCACCCCCTCGGCTGCAACTATGAGGAGGAAGATTGAGTCCTCGCTCTGGCTCTGAAGGTGACAGGCAAGCCCTCAGCAAACTTCCCCCTAATTCCCCGAGAGGACATCCCGGCCTCTTGCTGCAGGAGGGAAAGATGGGCTCACCCCGCTCAGGAGAATGTGGGAAGATGAGATCAAAGTTCACCTCTGTGCTGGCCTGGCAGCTCCCTCTTCCAGAGATACGGACTTTGCTCCCAGCCTCGGCCAGCTGCCTACAGTGAGGGCACCTGGCACACCGTGTTCCCACTCCTAGAATCACTCCCCAGAGACCGTGTGAGATGGAAAGAAGGCTGGACTTGGGGTTATGGCCCCAGCTGCATGGCCACGGGGCCGTCCCTTAGACTCAGCCGCTCCGCTGTAAAAGCAACATCGGATAGCTTATCATCTCTCAGGACTACTGCGAAGTGCACATGAGTCTTCACGTGTGTAGGTGAACTTTGTAAGGGTGAAGGGCTGTACCGCTGCGTGGCATTAAAATCGTCTTCCGGAATAATGATAAACATTTATCCAGCACTTACTACCTAGCAGGCTCCGCTCTCAGTGCTTCTCATGTAGCAACTCATTTAATCCTCACGTGCGCCTCTGAGGAGGACAGTCCTGTTATCTCCACTGTATAACGAGGCAGTGGAGGCACAGAGGGCTCGGCCAGCTTGCCCCTGCTTACACGCTGGTCAGCGGCAGAGCCAGAAGTACCGTCCAGGCAGGCTGGCTCCAGAGCCTGCGTCCTCATGAGCTTGCCAGGCTGCCTCGTAACGGGCACTACAGTCTCTGATGGTTCGGTCGGTGGCATCGCTTCTGATGGGCGCCAAGCATGACACCATGAAAGCGTCTTAGTGGTCGGGAGTCTTCCTGACTTCGTCCACTCACACGGGGATGGGGAGAACGGGGAGCTGGCAGTCAGGCAAGGATCGGTCAGCCACCGTGACCACCCACGGGGTGAAGCCCACCGTGCTCCCCATGTGCATCCCCCTCCGGTGAATGATGCCACCTGCACGTGCCCCAGTGCCTACCACAGTAGCTCCTACCTACCTCTGCTTCATCGGGAACCAGCTGTTTCAGCTTAAGCCCCTGGGTCCTACTGAGGGTCCACGTCTCCTCTGCCGTACACGGATATCATGACGTCTACGTGCAGATCCAGTGAAACAGAATGTGAACATGCTTTCGCAAAGCTCAGGGTGACGTTGGGGTGGGGTGGTGATCCCTAACTCCTCTTGACGACCTGCCAGAGATAGGCCACCCCTGGAAGTATGTCGTTACCTTTTTGGGCTCTCCCTCTCTCAGGGTGAGGGATTCCTTATTTGTTCCGTGCAAATAAGGTGCCGCTCCGTCCTCCCAAGGGGCCTCTCCAGGAGGTGCCGTCTGGAGGCGCTGCTTCCAGGAGGCTGATTTCGGGGGGCAAGACCATGTGCTCTGGACATAGACCTCCTTCCAATCCTTGCTGTGCCACTCGGCAGGCTTGGGGTGGGTCATTTCTACTTCCCAGAACCTCCATTTTCTCTTCTGCAAATAGTAGTGAGCATTTAGGGGCACCTGGGTGGCTCAGTCAGTTTAAGCACCTGACTTCGGCTCAGGTCATGATCTCACAGTTCATGAGTTCGAGTCCCCAGTTGCGCTCTGTGCTGACAGCTCAGAACCTGGAGCCTACTTTGGATTCTGTTTCTCCCTCTCTGCCTCTCTGTCTCTCAAAAATAAAGAAACATTTAAAAAATGGAAAAAAAAAAACCCCAATTCATCCATTTAGAGTATACAGATCAATAGTTTTTAGCATATGTGCAGATTTGCGCAACCACCCCCAGTCAACTTCAGAACATTTTCATCACCTTGGAAAGAAACCCTATTCCCATTAGCAGCTACTCTGCATTTCCCCTCACTTCCCCAACTCAACCACTGATCTCTTTTGTCTCTATCAATTTGCCTGTTGTGAGCATTTTACATATGATAGAATCATACAATATGTGACCTTTTGTGTCCAGCTTCTTCCACTTAGTATGTTTTCAAGTTTCGTCGATAGTATAGCACATATCAGTACTCCATTCCTTTTTCTGACTGAATAACGTTCCATTGTGCGCATGTACCACATTTTGTTTGTCCGTTTATCAGTTAATGTTGATATCTGGAATGTTTCCATTTTGAAACTGTTATGAATGATGCTGCTATAAACATCGGTGTCTAAGTTTTTGTGTGGACCTATATTTATTTCTCTCGAGTATATACACCTAGGAGTGGAATTGCTGGGTCATATGGTAACTCTATGCTTAACTTTTTGGAGGAACTGTCAGACTTTTCCAAAGCAGCTGCACCGTTTTATATCCCCACCAGCAATGTATGAGGGTTTCATGTCTCCACCAATACTTTGATTCTAGCCATCCTAATGGGTGTGAAACAGTATGTCATTATGATTTGGGGTTGTGTTTTCCTGATGACTGATGATACTGAATTTCTTTTATGTTCTCATTGGCCATTTGTATAGCTTCTGGGAAATGTTTGTCTAAGTCCTTTGCCCATTTTTATTTTTTTAATTAAAAAAAATTTTAAGGTTTATTTATTTTTGAGAGAGAGACAGAGTGCGAGTTGGGGGAGGGGGCAGAGAGAGAGGGAGACACAGAATCCGAAGCAGGCTCCAGGCTCCGAGCTGTCAGCACAGAGCCCGATGCAGGGCTCAAACCCACAAACTGTGAGATCATGACCTGAGCCGAAGTTGGACGCTTAACCGATGCAAGCGCCCTGACATTTGCCTATTTTTAAATCGGGCTATTTGTCTTTTTATCGTTGAGTCAGAAGAACTCAACTGGGAAGCGTTGAGTCAGAAGTCAGAAGTCCCTTTTGAGTCAGAAGAGTTATTTACATATTCTGTATGCAAGTCCTTTATTAGATATATGATTTGCAAATATTTTTTTTCTCATTCTGTGGGCTGCCTTTTTGTTTTCTTGATAGTGTCCTTTGAAACACAAATCTTCCAAAGCATAAAAGTTTCTCAATTTTGGTGGAGTCCGGTTTATCCGAATTTCATTTTATTTCTTGTACTTTGGGCGCCATCTCTGAGAAAACTTTTGTTCTTCTCTTCACTTGTCTTAAGCGGGGTGCATTGCTCAGAAGATGGGCCTGCCTATCCGCCTTGTCGTGGCAGTGAACCGCAATGACATCATCCACAGGACTGTCCAGCAGGGCGACTTCTCTCTTTCTGAGGCCGTTGAACAGACCTTGGCATCAGCAATGGACATTCAGGTAGGACCTGTGGGAAAGTGTGCAGGTCTGGCCCAGCTCTTGATTGGTTGGGAATGGACAAGGACTGAGATCAGTGTGGCCCCTGGCACCCTGCGTTTCCAGGTGCCCTACAACATGGAGAGAATCTTCTGGCTGCTCTCTGGCTCCAACAGTCAGGTGACAAGAGCCCTCATGGAGCAGTTTGAAAGGACCCAAAGCGTGAGCCTACCCAAGGAACTGCATAGCAAGGTCAGTCCCCGGTCGCACCCCACGGGGAAAGCAAAGGGTGTAACCACGAAACCCAGTTGTAGGCTTGAAAATCTGTCTAAGGCAAGAGGACACCTGTTTCTTGAGCACCTGCTATGAGCCTGGCCCTTTTGCAGTCTCTTTACAGGGACTGATTTGTTGAATGAAGAGAGGCAGTAGAGAGCATTGGTTCAAATCAGACAGGGGTTGGCTCTAAGCCAGCTGTGAAACCTTGGGCCAGTTTCTTAAACTCGTCTATAAAGTAGGGCTAATGAGAATGCCTGTCACAGCATTGTTGAGGATTTACGTCAATTAATGCCCATGAGACACGTTGGATACTGCCTGGAAATATAGGGCTTAACACATTCACTGTTAATTGTTTTAATTCATTATTGTCGATTTTCAGTAGTAGCAACAATTGGAAGCCACTTTGCCCATCCAGTATGAACAGAGGCCTGTTGAGCTTTTTTTTTTTTTTTTTTTTTTAAGGAAAAGGAGAAATTTTATTTCTTCAGAGTGGTAGGAATCCGGTTGGGAAGGATTGCTTTTATTTTAATGTAGCCTAGTGATGGTCCACTTATTTTACGTAAGAGAAAGGATTTCATATGTTGACATTGCCTTTAATTTTCTCTATCACATCCCACCAAGTCATCCAGACCATGTGTATATCCAGTGACCAGGTCCTCACTGGCTCACATCAGCTCTAATCATTACAAAGTTCTTTATGTTGAGCCGGAGTCTCCTGACTTGTGCACTGGGGAGCAGTCCGATTCCCATACTTGAAGAGAATCTTTGTTTCTCTGCTGAGTCTTCCCGGTCCCTTTAGCTGTCCCTTCCGTGACCTAATTTTGCATAGTCAAAGTCAGTCTTAAAGGGTTGTTCCCAGAACTGGATACAATTTTCTGGGTTTAGGCACCCACGCAGACCAGAGTGGAATTTCAATCTTTCTTGTGCTGCAACTTGTCGTCGTTTGCACTGCCATAGCAAAGTACCAGAGACCGGGTGGCTTATAAACAACAGACATTTATCTCTCACGGTTCCGGATGCCAGAAGTCTGAGACCACAGTGCCAGCCCGGTTGGGTTCTGACGAGAGCAACTTTCATAGAAGTGGCGGACCGCCAGGGTCTTGTATCCTCACATGATGGCAAGACATTTAGCTAGCTCTCCGGCCTCTTCTTATAAAGGCACTCATTCCACTCATGAAGGCTTCACCCTCATGACCTCGTCACCTCCCAAAGTCCCACCTTCAAACACCATAATGCACCATAATGTTGGGATTAAGTTTTTAACATACGAATTTGGGAGAGGGAGGACATAAACATTCTGACCATAATACAACCAAAGGTCAACTTACTTGGTTAACAGTTCGTGTTGATATCCCCAGTCCTTCTCCTCATGTAAATGAGGTGCTCCATGGAAACAGACACCAGATCCCACACTTCTTCATTCTCTCCCTGGCTGTACACGTACAAAACATCGCATCTGCTGGAACAGCATTCATTCATTCATTCATTCATTCAAAATATCTACTGTAATCCAGGAACTGTGCAGGTACTGGAAATACAAAGATAAAGAAAATACTTTCTCTGTCTTCTGTGAACCCTAATGGGACAGGTAGCTGTACAAATGATTTATAACACCCTATGGCGGCAGTCAAGTATATGCAAGGTGTTTGGCACCTCAACAGCATGCAGTAAATTTTCAGAGAATGATCAGATCAACCGTCCACACTGAGGGGACAGTGAGAAGGGAGTCTTCTGCTGTCTGTGGGTGGAAGGGGAAGGCTTCCTGGAGGAGGTGCTACCTGAGCTGGGTGGGAACTGACTGGAAGATGTTTCTTACACCCACAGGAAAGGGATGCACCTAAGACAGGGCACCAGGAATGTTTGATTACCCTTAACCTTCTGCGTTTTGTCAGTTTGTTGAACAAGAGTATATACTAATTTGCTGATTCATGAGCTAATCCTTACTAAATTTACTGACTTGAAACTCAAACGGTCCTTCCCCCAAGCTGAGTGAATCAACTTAAAACTGGGAAGCCTGGGGAACCAGCTTTTTCTCTGAGCTGAAGCTGAGCTACTTAGTCTGAAGAGTTCATCTGAATCTCTCATGTTGCCTGGCTATGTTTTTTGTTGTTGTTTTTTTTTTTCAGTATATGAAATTTATTGTCACGTTGGTTTCCATACAACACCCAGTGCTCATCCCAAAAGGTGCCCTCCTCAATACCCATCACCCACCCTCCCCTTGCCTGACTATGTTTTGTAGTGAGTTTTTGGTCGCTTTCCCTGGGTTACCCCCAAACCTGATTCCCACCCTCCCCCTCCTCTGACCCTGGGCCCCATCAGCTTTCAGGGGCAGTGACGTCTGAGTCAGTGTCGGATGAGGCCATCACCCAGACCATGGCTCGCTGTTGGGAAGAGAACAAGTACTTGCTGTGCCCTCACTCGGCCGTGGCCGTGAGTTACCATTACCAACAGACGGAGCAGCAGCCGCCCAGGTATAGGCCATGGGCTCCTGGGTCACTGGGGTACTCTGGTTTTCAGGGGCCCTTCTTTCCCCCAAGCAGAGGAGATGGGAGTCCGAACAAATGGCTGTGCTGAGCATGACCGGTGCTGTGTGGAACAGTGCCCCGGGAACAGGGATCCCAGAGGAGGGTGTGTGATATATTCTGGGGACAGCCACTGTGACAGGTGGTGGTTGAGCTGGGCCTCCAACAAAGAAGAGCAGTTTCCCTAGCAGTGTCATTGCAGAGATAAGTTCAAGGTACCAAGCGCCTGTCTCTTTCTCTTTCTTTCTCTCTTGTTCCTCCTTCTCCTCCCTCCTCGCCTTCTCCTTCCCTTATCTGTCCCTCTCTTCTCCCACCCGCCCTCCTGTTCCCACCTGCTCCATGCCATAGCCTTCCCCGGTGTTGTCTGGCCCCCGCCTCTGCAGCCAAGTTCCCAGAAGCTGTCCTGGCTGCCGGGCTGACCCCAGAGACCCCTGCGGAGATCCTAGCCCTGGAGAGCAAGGGGACACGCTGCACCCCGATGCGGAAGGGTGACGACTGGACTCTGATGCTTCGGAACACCATTGAGGACATAAGCTGCCAGCAGAGGGGTCACTTCCTGAATGCTCTGGAGTAGCCAGGCTGGATTCGACTTCCTTCAGGCTCCAGACCGCAGGGAGGCATGCCCTCTAAACTGCTTTGCACACCTTCTCGTTAAGAGTTGGTGTAGTTGGTTCTCAGGAGGTTGCTCAGCATGGCCTGGGGACCAGCTGGCTTTGCTGTGTTCTGGAGCCGCTCTGTGTCCTCACCGTGGTGGTGGTGTGCCTGCTTACCGGAGATGCTGGCTGGGGATGTGTGTGTGTGACGGGGCGTTCCGGATGGTGCAGGAGCGTCACTGCTGCGGCATGCCCACTAACCGTGCCATGGTTCTCAAAGTGTGGCCCTTGGGTCTCCTCAAAATGCACACTTCCGGCCCCTACCCCCTACCTTCTCAGGCAGATCTCTGGGTGGGGGGTGGACGTCTGCAGTTCTTACAAATTCCCTGAGTAAGTCCTCTGTGCACTCCATTTTGGGAAGCCCGAGCTGGGGAGTTTAGGTTGATACGTAATTTCTTATTTATCCATTTTGAGGTGTACTTTCTTTTCACGAGGGCATGCTTTATTGCTTCTACTATTTTCATGATCTAGCCCTGCCCTGTCGGACTCAGTAGCCGCCAGCCATATGGTCTCTGAGCACTTGAAATGTGACTAGTATGGCTAACACACTGAATTTTTCATTTTTTTAAATTTTAATTGATTTACATTTAAATGTCTTGACTTCTTACGTTACTTGATTCCGTTATTTAAAAAATTTTAAGTGTGGTTAGAAAAATGCAAGTATTGGGGCGCCTGGGTGGCGCAGTCGGTTAAGCGTCCGACTTCAGCCAGGTCACGATCTCGCGGTCCGGGAGTTCGAGCCCCGCGTCGGGCTCTGGGCTGATGGCTCAGAGCCTGGAGCCTGTTTCCGATTCTGTGTCTCCCTCTCTCTCTGCCCCTCCCCCGTTCATGCTCTGTCTCTCTCTGTCCCAAAAATAAATAAACGTTGAAAAAAAGAAAAATGCAAGTATGTGAATCGGCTTTTTCAGCTGTCAATTTTATGAAGTCTAAATACAGGTAAGTATGTCCAATGAAAATGTAGCGTTCTAATTGAGAAACACCATAAGTGCAAAATATATATTGGATTTCAAAGACGTCAAACGAAAAAAATCGGAAGTATCTCGGGAATAATTTTACACTGACCACATGTTGAAAGGATAATATTTTGACGTATTGGGTTAAATAAAATAGATCATCAAAATTAGTTCCATCTGTTTCTTTTCCTTTTACTAGGATGTTTAAAGTGATATATGTGGCTTGCCTTTGTGGCTCACATTGCCTTTCCATGGACAGAAGTGATCTAGAACCTAACCTTGAACATGCTACAGATAGTTGCAGGTTTAGTTGTATTACTGGGTTCACATCCTGTCTGAATCGAGGAGGGTGAAATGAGACCAACACAAACATGTGAAGGTCAACACAAGCCTTCTGCCCTGGATGTGATGGCGGGGGGGTGGGGTGGGCTTTGGAAGGCAGGTGAGGCAGGCACATCATGGAGGGGGGTACTAGAGCTCGCTGTTGCTACCATTTTGAGGGCTGCAGGGAGAAGGCATCCTGCCTCCCGAGCCCACTTCCCATGCCCTGAGATCTAAAGGAGCTGGTCACCCAGGTTGATCTCTGGCTGCCATTCCCACAGCACGGCATGCCGGCCCCACCTCTCTGTGATGCCCAGGGAGAAAAGGAAGAAGCTGGAGGGCGCCCTCCTACTGGAGAACTTTTCATTGAAGCATGGCAGTCAGTACAAAAATGGAAGGGCAGGAATGCTGGACCCACAGGAGGATGGATAGAGCATTCCTAAAGGAAAGACAGTGATCCTTACAGGTCAAAGCCCTGAGCAGTTTCTGAGACACTGTAATATCTATGTTAGCAAACATGATGGAGTCCCAGGGCCCGTTTACCCACCAGGCGCTAGAGGTCTGATGCTTAGGAGTCATGATACATTGAAAGACCTATGAAAATGCTTTCATTTCTTTTAAAACCGAAAGAAACAAGAGTATAACCCAGCTTGGCTTATATTCATCTTTATACCAGCACAGTTGTACAATAGAATTTTAAACATTTTTTATGGAAGAAGAGGCCCATGACAGCAAAAGTGCCCAGGGCCCGCAGAAGTCATCATGTGGGTCTGATCGCGCCTACTATGTGCCAGGCAATGCTTTACAAAGTAACTCCGGGAAACCTTGGATTGGAGTGACTTGTTCTGCGAGTGCTCCATAAGACGAGCAGACATTTCTAATAAATTTTGACTTGATAAACGAGCGATGTCTTGCAATATGAGTGGTATGGGATGCCGAACATCACGTGATCACAACCGAGCCAACAGTTCTTGAAATTCACTCTGACAAGTGCTTTGGATTACAAGCATGCTCGCAAACCAAGGTTTTACTGTAATTGAATCCTCACAGCCTGGGACGTAGGTATTGCTATTACCTGCATTTTACAGACGAAGAAACCGAGGCACGCTGAGAGGTGAAGACCTTGCTGGGGTGGCACCACTAGGGGGCAGAGAGGCTGGAACTTGAACCCAGATCCTGTGGCTTCAAGTTCACCGTATAGTTTCCATCACACCGTGTCTTATGTAGCTGCTCTGTGGTCCGCCGGCTCTCCATCCTCCCCCCCGCTGTGGCCCTGCTTCCGGGGCCTCCTCCACCATCCCTTTCATGGATGGATTTGGGAGCGTGGCTTTGCTTCTCTGAGAGGCCCGCCGGGGGCTGCTACAACCCCGCTTTGTTGGTCTGTCTAACCAGCACTGACCCTGGCACCCGGGGCCCACTGTGGGCCGACCTGAGCCACACTAGTTCCCCATTTTTGCTGCCTTATTTCTGAGGGGCTCAGGGCGGTGTTGGGGTCATAAGGGTAACAAAAATCCCTGCCCTCTGGGTGGTTCAGAGACCTACCTATCCAGCTCTGAAAGGTCACCACACCTAGAAGAAGGGACCCAGAATAAAGCCACTGGACACAGCACAAACAGATGTGAAACATGTACTACAGGATGGTCTGGCCACAGGGCATCTTGGGGGTGAATGGAGGAGCAGGACCCGGGTGAGGGAAATATCCGAAGACGCACCCACCACGTAAACATACACACAGCCCCGCTGTCCTGACACACACATACATCTACACACACACACACACACACACACCCCACTGGCACCAGACCAGGTTAGAATCGGTTGAAGACGTCCTTCCTGAGTCAACCGCTCACTGGTGGGGTGATCACAAGCAAGTCATTTCACCTTCGTGAGCCTCAGTTTCCTCATCTGCCGATTACAGTACTTCCCTTGCTGGTTTGTTTTCAGGATTACCTGAAACAATGTATCTCCCAGTGCTAGGTAAATGCTAAAATGCTGCACAAAGGGTTCTTCTTAGTAACACAATTATAGTCTGCACTGAACAATTTAGTACTTTTAAGCTACCTTGTATTTTTTTGCCAATTGCTTTGTGAATTAGTCTTATCTTGCCTGTGAGGTTGCCTCTTCCTTGAGGACCGAGTTCTCCTGTGGCCCCACTGTGCTGGCAAAGCTCCGGGCGCACAGAGAGCTGGAACTGCCCTCACCCAGCCAGTGTGCCAGGCTTGGCGAGGCTCTTTTGGGGGCTGAACCGCATGGATCGAGCAGCAGTGGCTCTGTTAGCTGGTTAACAAACCTCACTAATTCGCAGTGATGATAGTGATGGACTGATTCCCTCTCTTGAGCACTGAAGGCTGGCTGAGCCCTTTGGGAAGCACTTTCCAGACATCGACTCCTTTAATTCTCACGAGGACTATGTGAGAAAGTACTGTTAGGATCTCCACTTTAGAGATGAGGAAACAAAGCTCAGAGAGGTTAAGTAACTTGCTGAAGACCTCCCAGCCTGTGGGTGGTGGAGGAGAGATGTGAGGGTCTGTGAGCTTACACATTGTGCTAGGCTGGGAGAGGCACTTTGGGCCAGATGGCCTCCAGGTTCTCTTGAAATCAGAGTCCGCAGTCATCCAAAGGTCAATGTGTCTGAGGGGAAGAGGGCCAGATGCTCGCGGGAGGGGGCAGGGAGCCAGAACCTTTGCTGGGGGCTT